AAAAAAAAAAAAAAAAAAAAAAAAAGTTTCTATGAAATAATAAACTTATGAAAGTTACTACATAGTAAGGCATCGATAAAAATTTACCATCATTATTATTTTAAAAATCTTCAAAAAAGTGCTAGCAAGAATTTTTTATTTTGGGGGCACAATAAAAAACAATCAGGATCTTAATTTTATAAAAAAAATTGTTTATAATCCAAAGGAGTTGTTTGTGCAGTGCCCAGCAGCCCGACCACAAATAGTCATTTCACCTTGTGGGAGACAGATCGCGGTTGGCCATCAGAGACTTTCTCCTGTCAGGCCACACAACGTCTAGTCACCGAAGAACCGACCCAAACTGCAGTGTCAACTCCTCAGGGCAGGGAACAGAGTGGGGAGGAGAGACTGCAGGCACTGCGCCACCCTCTGCTCCCGCAGCTCCTCCTGCGGTAGGTCAGTGCTCAGCCGAGAGGATGTGATTAGGAGGCTGCAGCTAGGACCAGCGCTCTCCCAGCAGCTGTGCAGGGGCTGTCTTGGGCTTTGGGGACCACAGGACAATCAGTATTATGGGATAAAAATAAAAGATAAAAAGACCCATGATTTCTGCCCATTCTGGGTGATCATTTTATTTATTTTTGTCTTTGTCTTTTTATTTTTATTTTTGTTGACACAGGGTCTCACTGTGCAGTTCAGGATGGCCCTGAGCTCACTTTGTCGCCCAGGCTGCTCTCGAACTCGCAGTGACCCCTGCCTCAGCTCCCGAGTGCTGGGATGACAGGGTTGTGCCAATGCCGCTGCTTCTCCAACCGCCTCAGAGGGTGACCCAGAAAATGTCTGCTGCTGACAATATGCAACTCTTCTTGCAAGGGAAAGCAAGGAATTCAGAGAGGTTTTCGCTACGAACACTCTCCTCTCACTCCACCTCCTCGCTTACTCCACCGCTAAGAGAAGTGCTAACAACGCACCGAGAAGGCCATCGACCTTCTCCACCAGCAAGGTGGCCCAGCAAGACGGGGGGTCTCCCGCCGCCTGGGAGCCAAGGAGCCTTCCTTCCCACCTGCCTCCTTCATAACAGAGAGCGATAAATACCGAGCTATTCGCTCCTCCAGCTCTGCGCCATGTAAATGAAGACCAATAAGGTGCTGCGGAAGCGCTTCAGCCCAGACGAAACTCACTCGACCAGACTGACCAAGCCAAACTGCGTGCACCCACCAATGGGGACAGGTTTCTGTTTACACAAAAGAACTTCCTAACTTATAGGACAGGAATTGACAGAGGCCTTCTGGAACCGGTCTAGGCCTAGACCAAGGAAAATGATTTACGGGATGGCAAATCAGCCTCAGGAGGAAATGCTGAGGGAAGTGAAATTGTTTAGTCTGGAAAAAGGGCAAGCAAAGAGGGGTTTGCTGAGAGGTCTCAAATGTGGGAGATGCTGACCAGCTGTGCACGGAAGGCATAAAAAAAAAAAAAAAAAAAAAAAAAAGGAAATTGGTTTAATTGTAAGCGACAGAGAAGTGAGCAAAATGAAGAGTGGAAACTTAACTTTCAGAGTCTTAAAAATTTGGACTGGGCATCCACACACAGCAGTTAGACCGGAAACTTTCTGGAAGAGATGGCCATCTGTCCCGAAATAGCTTAATCCCTGAGATGTGGGGAGGGGACCACGCAGGGGACCATCTGGGCAGCAGGACTCCCTGGCTTGTTTATTCTTAGGGATACTTGCATCTTTCATGGCTAGCAGTCAGTTGGATGAAGTTTATTTCTGATGCCTCTGGGCATACCACGAGTCATACCACTACAAAAAGAGGCAGGTTCTGAGTAGAACACAGAAATGCCTTCACCTAAATTGCTCTCCAGGGCCGTCCAGATAGCTCAGCAGATGAAAGCGCCTGCTTAGAGAGACGCAGGGAACGGGGTTGGAGCCTTGGCCTGCTGAGCCAGCCCCGCCCCTGGGGACATGCTGTGACACTGACTGAAGCCAGGCGTGGTGGTGTGCCTGTAATCCCAGCTCTTGGGGGGTTGAAAACAGGAAGGATCACTACCAGTCCGACCTGTGTAG